TTGTTGTCGTCGTCGTCGTAGTCGTTGTTGTCATCGTTGTCGTTGTTGTTGTTGGTCGTTGTTGTTGTTGTTGTTGTCGTCGTCGTCGTTGTTGTCATCGTTGTCGTTGTTGTTGTTGGTCGTTGTTGTTGTTGTTGTTGATGTTGTTGTTGTCGTCGTCATCGTCGTCGTTGTTGTCATCGTTGTCGTTGTTGTTGTTGGTCGTTGTTGTTGTTGTTGTTGTCGTCGTCGTCGTCGTCGTCGTCGTTGTTGTTGGTCGTTGTTGTCGTTGTTGTTGTTGTCGTTGTTGTTGTTGTTGTTGTTGGTCGTTGTTGTTGTTGTCGTCGTTGTTGTCGTCGTCGTCGTCGCTGGTGTTGTTGGTCGATGACAACTGGGATAGGCAGGCAGGGTACGCAAAGGTGTTGCTGCTGTTGTCTCCAACACTAAAATGTCGTACCGGCCTGGCTTAGCTCAGTACTATCATCTAACACCCGTACCGGTCCAACTGCCGCGGAGAAAGAAGAGCTATTGGTACTGTAGGTTTTGCATGTCCATTGAGGGTTACCACCGAGGTGTAGCCCTTGACACACGGTTTACCGCAATTCTTGCGGGGGACTACGCGATTAGGTCACAGCCTGCCAGGGAGGGAGGCACCCAACGGTCTCGGTAGATCGGGTACATGAAAGTGCCTAGGGAGAATATGAAACACGCAGTGCTGTTGTAGCAGTATGTAGCAGCGGTCATTCTGACGCGCTGTGCTTCTTCACTATTTTCCGGTCCCCCTGTTACCATGAGTACTCTCTCTCACTTGGGCCAACGGCCCTTCACACGTGTATCATGTCATAACACCCACCCATCCCCACGGGGCCTCCCCCAAACGGCACCAAATTACAGATCCGCCAGATGATGGAACCGGACCCTGCTAGGCGTATTACGCCTCACGAAGCTCTTCGGCACTCTTGGATAGTGCAACATCGAACATCGCTACACTAGCGGCAGCTGTGGTTCCGCCATGGGGGCAACGGCTTCGTCACCAGTATCACATTGACAACAGAACAAGACCCCTTGATGACGACTCGGACTGTTAGATTCGAGCGACCGGGGGGCGGAGCGGCTTTGGCGAAAGCGCATGTGTACATCATGCTCCGAGAACAATCAAATGGGACGGTTGGAATGGAGAGGAAGCGGTCGGAGTCGACTGGGGATGATCAAAGAGAAAATCGCAGGCGATAGTCTTTTTTTTTCACGAAGGGTGAAAAAAATCGCAATCTCGCCGCGTTTTGACCCCTCTATAGACGTGGTAGAAGAAAGAGCATTGCGCTCTGCAACGGGGGGGGTCTATATTTGTGCTGTTGTTTAAGCGGATTTTTTTTCGTTTTGTGTGAGTGTGTGTTGGTGCTTTCGCTAGAAATGGCGTCTTGATTACTTTCCGTCTTTCATGTGACACACCCTCGTTTTGGTAATAATTGCCGACTCTTATGTCGCTTTTTGTTGTTTTGTTTGTTTTTGCTGGTGGTGTCGCTGCCAAAAGTTCCCTTGAGAAAACAAGAGGCTTTTGCGTGGCTGTGAAAGGTAGAGGGGGGACCCGACGGCATTTTCGTCGATATCTACGCTCTCCGTTTTCTCGCCACGGTTTGTCACATCACACTTCCTCCGACCAAGTCGCTGCTGCTGTGTTCGGAGATGGTGCTTACCTCTTGTGGTTTTCCCGCTAGCGGGGTACAGCAGGATGTATTTCCCTCCTTCCCTCTGTTGGTTCTGATTTCGTGCCACATGGGAAATAAATGTTTCCGAGGTGTTGTGGTTGATCCTCCGCTCGTATCCTTGCCTATTGCCAACGATGCTGTAGTCGTCGTCTGCTTTCGCAGGGTGGTGACTAGCATGGCAGGTAGGTGCGTGTTCAGGCCAAGGGTGCTCGAGGACGAGGGGTGCGGTGATAGAAATGTTCATGGATGTAAGTTCATGGATAGGGTATAACTCCCCCCCGCCCTGCTAGTGTTGCGTTTTGTTTGCGTGAAGCCTGTAGGAAACAGGCAACCGGTTTTCAGATGCGCGTCGTTGGTAAAACTGAGACAAGCCTATGTTTTCTAAGAAATGCCTATACTTGCTCCGCAGATTTACTTGCGGAGTGTACATATCGGGTGCCGTGTGCGTATTTGTCAATCAATCTGAAAAGGGAATCGAGTAGATGGTTCCATATGTGTTTAATTATTGTATGTAGCGAGAAACGATGCTACATGGAGTACTCTAGAGCCGAACGGAGCTAATAGCCGCCTCATATTTTCCACGGTACTGAATCCCCAGCGACACTGCTGTGGCACTACACGATCCCTCGGGACCGTTTAGCTGTCTAGGGACGGACTTGTGTCGGAGTGAGTTTCTCGGAGTTTTTGTTGTTTTCTGGGGCTGGCGTTCAAGAATAGCTCTGCTTGCTGTGTGTCATAAAAAACGAAGAGAATGTGATTTTGGGAGCCTCTGAACATGATCGGAGCCACCTCCAAAGTCAGAGACGGGGGAGGGCTTGCGTAAAGCACACGCTTGTGGTGGGTAGGCAGCTATTTTGTGACAGGGACGCGTCTTTCTGCGCCCAGCCCTTCCCGCACCGTTTAATGGGGGGCTTCCTCTGGTGTCCATGGGCGGCTAGATTTACCGCGAAGCGGGGAGCCGCTGAGGGGTCTTGTTTGTCTAGACAACGAGCGTTTGTAGCTTTTGGGCTTTTCTTCGGGCGGGTAGAAAGGAGGCTGAGGGGTAAACGCACCCCACCACTGCAGTTACCGATACCGGACCAAGCGGAGATATATATGAGAAAGGAGGGAAAGAGAGAGGGAGGGAGGGAGGGAGGGAGGGAGGGAGGGAGGGAGAGAGAGAGAGAGAGAGAGAGAGATAGAGAGAGTAGAGACAGAGAAAAAG